TCCCGGAGTCTCACGCACGGAGTGTTCGTGACAGAATCCGACACGCGGTGTTCGTCTGCCGAGCAACCCGCGCAGCGCAGACGGAATGCTAAACGAAGCCCGAGCCCCCAAACTGGTACGAAGGGGGCCAACACGTCCTCTGGCACCCGAGATATAAAGTCGGCGGCGTGATTTATAGCAGTCACAATCACGAGTGACGAGTGACTCGAGACACAGCGTCGAAGTGGAGTTCAGGCCCTTTTCAAAAATGGTTCGTCTTTTCAGAGTTTGGTGCGTGGTGATACTAGCGTCTCTAGCGGTGGCTCAGCCAAACAAATCTAAAGTTTCGTTCAAATATGAATCCGCCATGGAACAAATGCGAAGCGAATGCGCGCAAGGGAACAGCGACTCAGCAGCGGCGTGCTTTAAGTACAAGCTCTTCAGCGCCATCGACGAGCTGTTCAGGAACGATTCTCTGGAGGTGAGTGGACGTGCGTTCCTCTCCACGTTCTGAAGAAAACTTTTTAGTGGGTTTTTTCAACTGGAACAGTGTAACAGAAGCAACAAAGGTTCTTTACGACTGTGTTGGACTTTTGGGTTTAAAGCGTCTAGTCTTGAAGATAGTGACCAACATTCGAAAGAACATTTTGCATCCATCTTCGGGGCTTACTAGTTAGAGAAGAATGTGTATGTTCCACTAAAACTATCCTGAAGCAGGCAATACGTTCCTCCGAAACGTCGGATGCGTCACAAACAAGACAAAAATGCATTTCTAAACAAGGATTATCAAAGTAGGATTTGAGGTTCTGACGGCGGTGGGTGCGAGGACGGCCGTCCTCTGGGTTGTAGCGCCGTGTGGTCTGGAGGCAGCCAAACTTCTGCTAGACTGCGCGGGGCCAAACACCCCAGAAGACAGGCGTCAGAGTTTTTATCAGATTCGCTCTTAATTAAGCTCACATGGAACTCAAATCAAACTAAATTACGCAGTTTTTTTGAACAGACGGGTTTCAGAGGTTCGCTCCAGTGTCGTCCTGTCCCAACATTTAAAGACAGGCGGGCAATTACTTAACAAAGGCGCTCAGCTTAAGAGTCCTTATTCCTTAACCAGTGAACGTCGAACCAATTTTGTAGTGGACAACAGAAAAGTTGAAACAATTCGAATGTGGCTTATCGCTTAACACAAACTTTCCTAGATAAGAGCCACGGAAAACATGCACGGAGCTGTCGTCATGAAGTTGTTGTTCGAGTGTTTAACGACACTGTCCCAAGTAAGCAGGTTATATAGCGTGAAGTGACGACGGATAATCGGGGAAATGGAAGGAGACAATTGTTAGAAGATTCCTGTCTTCTGGGTTGTTGCGCCGTGTAGTCTGGTGATGTCCACCAACGTTTCAGAGGTCCATGCTGCCTCCATCATCAGAGTATGAAGATTTCCGTCTTCTGGGTTGTTGCGCCGTGTAGTCTGGTGATGTCCACCAACGTTTCAGAGGTCCATGCTGCCTCCATCATCAGGGCGAACTTCAGACTCGCCATTGTGAAAACCTCAAATCTTACAGAGACGTTTGTTGCACGTCTCAAGAAATAATTCTATAAATTGCTTGAGCAGAATAAGAAATAGGGCGTCTGGGGGACTTCGCTCTTGCTTGCACTGCAAAAGTTTCATGTCCTGCGCACTGTGACTGTTAACAGGTGTCTGACGCCGTGTCCTTTGTCGGGAACTCAGCGCCCAAGGAAGACGCCCGCGGGGTACTGGACCAATTCCAGAGCTACGTGCAGACACACGACGTGATGGTGAGCCTGCCCGGGGACTCACAGCTCACACTGTCCTCACGAAATATCAACAACGGCGAACTGAACCTTAGCCTCAAGTTCGACCAGGAAGACTCAGCCGACAACGCCACAGAGGGTAAGAACATCGAAGACGCTGGTCGTTGGTCAAAGAGGGCGCACGAGAGGAAAGTGACGAGCAGGAAATCCGGGAAAATAAATAATGGTCACCAAATCGAGTAAGATTGATGGATAGGCTGTGTAGCACGCATAGGGAAGGTGAGAAGTGAATCTGAGACTTCAATCAGAAAACGTGAAGGAATGAGGCCACTTGCAAGACCTAGGCGTAAAGGGATTCGTTATACCAAAATATATCTTAAATAAATAAGGTCCTACATATCTGAGCAAGGGTTCTCAAGGACTTCGCCCCATGGTTCTGGAAAAAGTGACAATCTGGTTTTAGATGCTTTAGTTTGAGCTTAAGTTACTTACGGTCACTTACATGCGCTACTCGTTAAGTGACTTAAGAGATTCCAAATGGACCGACTGCATTAATTCGTTACCATTGAAATATCTCATGAGATAAGATGGCATTTGTTACACGCGGGAGCGATATTCCGATTTAAGTAACATTACTTAGAGTAATCTTCCCACTCGGCTTAAAATGCGAACGAGAGAAAGACATTAACTCGTTTCCTGGATTTTATGGAGGTCATGACGCGAGTGTACGGCATTATTTATACTAGAAACAAACATAAAATACTTTATTGCGGGCAGGATTAATCTTCCTCGACACTCGGTGTTCAGAAGAAATGAGGAACCTTTAATACAAGAATTCGGTTCTGATTAGGCACCGAGCGGAACGAGATTTTTAATACAAAATACGAACGACCATTTTCTCGACTGTGAGCGTAGCGCGCGTCAGGTTGAACGATCTCGAAAATCAAATGCTTGACCACACATTCAATTCGAGTGCCTTTCGGTTCTTCTTACAGGAAAAGTTTGTAGAGCGAAAATCTGATGCAGTTTTTCTGTGCCTTGCAGCTCGCAGACGTAAGAAGAGCAAACTGAAGAAGATTCTGGTGCCAATCGCGATTTTCCTGTTGCTGAAGGCCCTCACGCTCATCCCCCTCTTCATCGGCATCCTGGGCATCAAGGCGTGGAACGCGCTCCAGCTGAGCTTCGGATCCTTCGTCCTGTCGTTCGCCCTCGCCATTTTCCAGCTCTGTAAAAAGTTGGCGGGCGACTCCGCGCCTCCACAGCCCATCGTCGCCCACGCTTCCGGCTGGGAGTCGCAGCGAAGTCTCGATACCGGGTTCGATGCCCACAATCTCGTCTACAACGCCTACGCCCAGGCTGCCTGAGACAGGAAGCGACCGACCTGCCCTCTTTCTGCAGGAGTGACGGACTAATGACATGACGACAGACGTAACTGAATGTACCTGATATGACATATTTTAAAGCTTCCAAAGATATCACTAAAGGAACTCTATTGGATTTATGGGGTCAATAATTACGTGTATAGATGTAAATTATTAATTATACAGAAATTAAAATTATTTATTCCTAAGTTCGTGCGAATTTAATGTAGATGCCATTCTTATCTGTGGTAATAAAATGTTTCAGGTCTTGTAAATGTACAAACAAACTCTGTCCACAATTTTCATTAACGCGCCGCGCTTATAATTGACTACCGGAAGATAAATATATTTCCCGACAGTCAATACGAAGCCAGAAGAACACTTCATCGCCATGACGGGAACTAGAGAACGCACTCATCAAATCGGATTGATGGGGGCAGTTAATCATCCCATTATCTCCGACTCTGACAGGAATAATAGTAAACGTCTGTACGTTTCCATCATTTTGATATACAGGGCGTAGAGCGTGATCAGACCCCGAACTCGATGTCAGAGATATGCACGCGTACAGACACTTTAGAGTCACGTGCTTTTGTATTTTATGCGGTTTCAAACTTACATCGTCAGCATCTTCGGGAGATCACGTCACCATAAATTTCTCACGACAAGCCTTTGTTCATTCTTCAGAATATCGATCAAACTCAGACCCTGAAGACGACTCGAAGTATCAGTACTTTACATTCGATATATATCGGTTGCTTTCAACCTATCACGTGACCATTCAATACCCTCTGAAGTCGAAGCTCGACTAAATATTACGTATTTAAGAATTCAGACCGTACCGCGAAGAAAACACAACTCTTCACCATTACAAAGATCAAATGGTTAACGCTGTTCAAGGAAATAATCGCTGTTTATAATGAGACGCGCTGCGTACGTATTGAAACATTTAGTCCGTACCGCGAAGAAAACACATCTCTTCACCATTACAAAAGATCAACTGGTTAACGCTGTTTAAGGAAATAATCGCTGTTTACAGTGAAAATTATAGAAAATCCATAAAGACAATATAAAGAGTCTAATTAGCGTAACTACATCGTCCATAAATTTGTCCGCAAATTAATTACGGTCAAAGTTAATTCGCTTTCAGAGATGTTTTTGTATACGCGAAAACTCCACAGTCAAATCTGACACTTCTTACTTCAGCTACGAGACGAAATAACTTGAGGCATTCTGAAGTTATCACTGGAAGGCCGGTAAAATAGTTACCTTTTTATACATTACTGTCAGCGATGAACGTAATCTCCGGTTACTGTCTATGCTTTATCACGGAAAGAGAACTTACTGCATTAAGGATGAATTTTAGAAAAGATAGTTTTGAAAATATGCTCAGACATTGTGACGCAGAGCTAATTTTAGAAACAAAGGATGTGCCATTAATGAATTAGTAAACGTCTCCGAGAAGATGCTTTGTTCTCGCTGAGAGCAGTCTTGTCGTACGAAGTTGGTAAACACAAAGTAAGACGGAGCACTATTCTGTTCTGTTAACATTGCTTCGTGTCGTTCTCTTTGCATCCTGCCTCTCTAAACATAATTCTCAATCCTCTGCAGCATCCTCGCTCCTCTCAAAAACGCTTGAAATGACGCGGACACAGACACGCGGTTAACTGCGTTGTTTCCCACACGATCATTACACATGATGAATGTCGGCCACATTGGATATACGCAATGCGAAATGCCACGACGCATCCCCCACCTAAATCAATTCCGCAACCAAAATTCCTTTAATCCCGTCCGAATTTCGCCATTAGCAGTAAGAAAAGTTACAGAACGTTTTCTGTTTTCCAAATAAGTCTCGTTTGTGATAATTTTCCCTGATGGATCGTCTTTTGTTGCGACAACTAAGGCCTGAAAATTCTCAGTAAGGACGCTAGATAGCACCACTAGGTCGATTTTGGAAGTTTTTTTAAAATGGCTGCCAGAAAAGTTGAAGTGCTTAAGCGCGCAACATGGCTGAAATTGTTCATTATTGTTCTACGTTTAAAGGGATTTGAAAATAATATCGGACGCAAAGTAAGACAGAATTACAACTGACCTTTTGTATTATTAATGAGGTTGGAAATTTCAGACGCCAGAGACAGAGGGGACTTTCGTTGCAGCTCAAACTCACGGATTCTTGTAACTGAAGACGCCCTTACGTCATAGTTAATACTAACAAGCAAAGTAAAACGACGTGTAGACAGGAACACTGTCGTTTATTAAGGTTTCAGCAGCAAATTGAAGCCACAGCGTCTGAGGAAGTTAATCTGATTCCCGACAAGCTTCAAACTCGATTTATTTCATAATTTCCGCAAAGGCCTTTCAGCCATGATAAAACGATGCAGTCTCGTAGACGCCGACCGACGTTTCAGGGGTGCACAGCCTCGATGATGTAGCACGCACCCCTAAATCGTCACTAACCACTAACCAGGTTTTAAGAGGGGATGACTTAATAAATGACCAACCAAATTCATAAAAATCACCTGAAGACGAGGGTGGGACCAATTCATAAAAAACCTCCCTAGCTTTCATAACTGTTTATACCAAAGAAGACGAATCACACCCGACATATTTGCTTAGAAAACAAGAGAAGTATTTGCAGAGCCTAATCTCAATTTGTTACGGATAAGAAAAGCGAAAGGCAATTTCAATGGCAGTTTATAGCAGAAAGTAACTGTTGGACTGAATAAGAATAACAAACACGCGAAAAGTAATACGTCCAGAGACTCTAAAATTCTAATTAAAGAAAGTAATAATCGGAATTTGTATTTTCAAAGTTAATTTCACGTTGTTGACGTTCCAACTGGAATTGAAGCAATGATTTTGTGTAATCACGGGAAGTGCGGCGTGGTTGATATTACAGCGTGTCATTATTATCGACAAGCAGAGAACACGGACTGAAGATGCTTTAGAGCTGATGTCATCCTCAAAAACTGTGTTCTTACAGAAGCACGTATCTGACTGGCCTATTATTCTTAAGCTCTTATCTGAACACGAACATAATTACTCTTTAAAATATAGATTGCAATTACATAAAAAAGCCAGTACGGTGTCGCAGTAGACATTTAAATTCAAAATCTGCGCATTGGCCTAAACAGTCTTAAGAAATCCGCGAGACTTCACACGCAACAGCCGATATTCTGGGCTTCGAGTCATTTCGCTGAGTTAATTGTCCGGTTATCGAGACAAAATGAAACGTGTTTTTCCTCGGGATGCATTTGCCTGCGTTCCGTTTCGCTTGAACAAAAACCTATAAATTCGAAACGGAAATTTTACGGTGGCGTCGGGAATAATTCAAATCCGTTTTCTGCCGGGCGACATCTTAGGTCAAGGGACGCGCGGAAGGGAAATTGGGCGTATCATCAAGGAGACACAGATCACCGGCATTTGGTTTTCATATCACATCTCCGCATAAAATACACAACACAATGATTGATCACTTCAGAGGACTTTAAATTCGCGGTGTTAGAAAACACACAAACTTCATTTAATCAGCCACGCGCCAAATGTCGCTTCGGTCGTATCTGAATTTAATATCGTAGCTGCAAGAGAGGCTATTTCATGACTTGAGTTGGTTAAGTGCGTCAGATATGTTCAAGTAAGTTACTATTTTGCTTACATGGACGACAATAAAGTACAATTTAGGTTAACCAACTAACGCGTGTCGCTTCTCAACACTCCAGCCTGAACATCACACATTTAAGAATTCAGCCCGTACCGCGAAGAAAACACCACACTTCACCATTACGAAGATCAACTGGTTGACGCTGTTTAAGGAAATAATCGCTGTTTATAATGAGACTCGCACTGCGTACGTAATATTAAAGCATTTAGTCCGTACCGCGAAGAAAACACAACACCTCACCATTACGAAGATCAAATGGTTAACGCTGTTTAATCGCTGATTAACCACGGAATTATACAAAACACCGGATTACAGCTGCAGGAGTTGCTGATTGTTGAAGCAGGCGGGAAAAATAATTACCGAAGGGCGAAGAAATTAGGGCCGACGAAGGATTTCCTAATCTACAAGCGCTGTTAACCTAATAGCTCGAAGCTTATCTTTGTACGCAATGTTTTCGTCTTCCTACACGTAATAACAAGGAATCACCTGGATTGGATCCGAGGATTCTGGGATACAGGTTAAGTGTCACAAAGACGTGCTTTGTATTGAATCGCTAAAACATTTTAGGAAGAAACGACATTTGTAACAATTATCAACGGATTCTCAAGAGTTGCGTGGTTCTTGCATTCGTAAGAATAATGCACTTGGTTTACAGGCAGACTGAGTAAGAGACAGGGTCAGTGGACGGCAACTCCCACTTGGTTGCTCGCAAATTCTATCCAGCGTACACGCAAATGAAGATATATCATAACGGCTCGCTGTTAGTCTACAGGAAAAGCAAAGTTTATTTCGAACACGACGAAGCTGCCGTCCGACAGTGCTGCCACCCACGGTAAGTTGGCCAATGCACGAAGTCTCATGTCTGGTACGACGTAATCATTCTCAAATTCGCCAAAGGTCTTTGAACCAAGGAACACTTCAAAATTAAGAAGATCGATTGGTTAACGATGTTTTACAAAACTGATTGTGAAAGCGGTAGGTACATACAGTTACCACGCGGTTTAAAGATTTAATCTCGTTGCTGTACGATGGAAGTACCTGCAGATCGGTCGCCTATGGTTCGTCTGTCTTCACGACGTGTATTTACGTTTTTAGGAACGAGAAATGTTTTCTTCATGTTCAGCCAATCGTAAAGCGCAGAAGAAATACAAGTGACTTGGAATATCCCCTCAGAGAGTTCGCCTCGTCTTCTCGGCATAAAGTTTTACTTCATGGACACTGCACTCATATTTCTGTCAATTCTGAAGAACCTTGCGCCTAGGCACTTCGCGAAACCAACTTCAGCTTATCCTTCGAGGGAATACCCAGACATTCCTCTTTTACGTAAATTTATAGTCGCATTCTTTTCAAATATGTTCGTCTGTGCACGAATACTTTTGGTAATATTATGGGCACTAAGTTTTAAAAGAGGAGAGTGCGAACTATTTTTCTTGCTTTGGGGAAAAAACAAAAATTAAAGTCTTTGAGAAGAAACTTTCTGAAGAAAGCGTGTGGATCTGAGGCGGTCGAAGCAACTTCGTGATTTACTCAGGGCACTACCTGCTGTTGTGGCTGACATGTGACATGACAGAAGAGATAAGGAACATAAAAGATTGTCCGGAAATCACTTGGAAAATAATCACCTAGAAGACCACGACGATGTTGGGAGCTTCGATCGATATTTGAGTGAGTGATATCGATCTTGCAGTGACTGACCTGCAATAGCTGAGGCAGCGTTTCCTGATGATACTGGTCCAGCATCCCGTTCGCTGCGTGAAGCTGTTGGACGTAAGCGTTGTGAGCATCGAAGTAGTTGGACAGCGAAGCGGTCGTGGGTCCCATCAGGTACGACACGTAGGCGTTCTTGTAGTCCTGTCGACACTGGAAGAGTCAGACGACGCCTAGCGTCAATCCAGGCAATTATTTCTTAGCAATCGGAGTTAATCACCAGAGAAAAGACGTAAAGCCTCGGAATAAAAACTGGCCACGAGGTCCTTAACGTGTAGGACAGAGGCGGCTGGGGGAAACAGAAGGTTTTTTTAAAGAATCTAGATCGTTGTACGTGTATATATTAAATTATTTGAAAATGTACGCCTAAATACATAAAAATACCATCAAAAAGTTTTCTAACGTTGTCTACTTCACAAAGTTAAATTATTTTGACTTCCACAGACCAACGGTTCGAAATAAGTAACACAACCTTAAGGGGTGTCCATCTGACAGACGTCACGATCAGGGCAGATCTTTTAGGCTTCGCTGGGAGAGAGTACAGACAGACAGACAGACACTCTACTGACGAAAGGAAAACAGTTGCTGTTTACGACTTATGAATAAGCGTTCGTATTTACCAACAGCCACGCAGTTTCCGTCACTGACCTTGGCCAACTTGTCCTCCGTCTTAGTTAAGATGGTCTCGTAGCTCTCCCGATGGGTGAAAACTTTCCTGGATTGGATCTTGCGATGGAACGAACGTTCAACCAGCGGACGAGACACCTGGCGTCCAAGTATAGAGGCTATATCGCTGTGTGCCTGAGAATCGATCTCAACTTCTTGTAGAAGCGTCTCCCACGTGTGAAACAACGCGCTGGGACACGCTGGCCTGCAAGTATGCAACACGCAACACATTTTACATCTGTGCGAGTTTTCGGTATTGATTCTTAGCAGCCATTGAACCGAAAACTTCAGAAATTTTAATAAAAAAAAAAATCGTCTCAAAATTGAGAAAACGCAGTATTTATTTATTTTTAATTCTGAAATCGTGACTGATACAGCGGGATGCAACGCTGTTCGACCCGGGCTCCTTGTGGGTTGCGGTGATCTCTCTCCGTTCTGTGGTCGCTGACATCCTCCCCTCGTGCACGTTTTCCGTCTTAAAAAGTACTCGTCTGTTCGTCTGTTCGTGTGGGTTACGAACCACCCCACAATGCTCGGTGTTTGGGGGGGGGGGGTTGCAGGTAAAAGCTTTTAGAGTCCGGGCGAAGAAATATCCTTTCGTTAGGAATTTAAAAGTTTGTGGGCGTGTTCAACATATGGCGAATGCAGCTACGTCCAGATGGTCGTGTATACGTCGCAATGCGTTAGTTAGTTAGTTTGTTTA